TAGACGACCCAATCATACCATGGAACCACTATACAAATGTCCTCAAAATGGTAGCCTTGCTGTGTTTTTAAATTTGAATCATGAAGTTTGGATAGAAGAAAATGCATGGACATGTTATTACATATATACATGTAGTATTGCCATTTATCATATTGCAAGAGGTCCATATCATGATGATATCTGTATTTTTAGCAACATGTCAGATGATGCATGACTTGCATACATTGAACACTACTTTTAATAAAAAGCATGTCAATAGTTTTGCATTCACATTGGTACGCTTAGTCATCAGAATGATAACTATTAAAGTTTTAAATATCAAGTGACATAGCTGGTGCCATTTCCAAATTAGTATGCATAAGGCCAAATAAAACAAACTTGCTGTTTTTGGTAACAGTCTAAAAAATATCGAGCAGTTAAGCTGGGATTTTTGATTTTAATTATTTTTTCCCAATGAGTTGTATGATTGAATGACCATACCTAATTTGCATGAAATAAATAATTATGAACTGATTTGCATAAAATAAACTTTTCGATTTCCCAAAGAAAATTGGTAGGTACATGTACATGTAAAGTTTCTTGAATGACAGAACTTAATATTTTATTTAGCCTAACAGCTGTTTTGTTGAACCTTTTGAATGCCAAAGACAAATTTTGTTGTCTTTCACAAAATAAAATCCACATTTTTTCCAAAATTTTGATGAAAATAGTAACCATATTATGTCCAAATTTGGTCCCAAAATCATAAAAAAAAAACAGGCAAGTTGTTGCACCAAAATGATAGTGCTGAAAGGGACAATTCGACATTTTCCCCACCAATATTTTAGGTACAGAATGTACACTCTTTTATGTGTTTTTTTTTCATGATTTCTTTGTTAAATTTGAACTGAGTGAACACCGTCTTCATTGACTACGTATCTTTTGTGTTAAAATTTGACTTTTGTCTTCAAAATGTTAACTGGCAAATGCTTTATGAAAGCTGGAATAAGATTTTGGTTTCAAAATGCATGAAAAAAATAACATGTATGAATAAAATTTCAAGTGTTTGAGTCACTGCACATTACATATTACTGGTAAAAAAATAATACTGTAAAATGACTAATTTTCACTGGGTTTAAATTTCGCTGATTTACCATTTCAGGCATATTCACGGTTATATCATTTAGATAATGTGTTCTATGCTAAATTTTACATATTCACTGGGTTTTAATTTAGCGCATTTTTCAGTCAGCGAAATAAGCAAAATTAAAACCCAATGAATAATTAACCTCTTTACAGTACTTCTCCATGTGAGAAGGCAGTACGGCAATTGTATCAACCGGCGCGTAGCTACCATATGTACTATAATTTTTTTCTTTGATAACATTTTTATTATACATCATTACTCTGTAGTACCAGAGGTACATTACTTGGGGTTTGCAACTCGCATAGTACTGTATGGTGACATCATGTCAAGAACCCATTGAAGTCTTATCTCGTCGATAGCGAGACTGATGCTACGACCTTCTGACATGATATATATCAATGTTCAAGGTTTGTAATGAAAAAATAAAACTTTTCTTGCCACTATCGTAGTGAAAAATGTAATACATCGAAAAGGTACAAAAAATATAGTTCTCGTAATCCGTCATATCGTGGGCAGCTATTTTGATCCACCTGGACATCCCAGTATCCTAGTTAACTCGGGCATGCGCATTCGCATTTTTCTGAGTTGGAACGCTTATGCGAGAGTGAGATTGTAACGGGATCTTGGTATCATGTCACCGTAGTTGCAAACCCCAAGTAATGTACCTCTGGTAGTACCGATAATAATAATATTTACTAAGAAATAATATCCAAAAATTCCACTAAAAATGTTTCGTGCTCTGCGCAACATTTGTGTTTAGTGACATTTTATTTCCATAACATGCTATAGAACTTCTGTGTAAAGTAAGTGATGAAAAGTATTTAGCTATTACTGCAGAATACTTTATTTTCGCTTGGAATTTATTTTCGCTATTTTCGCTGAAGGGATGATTCCGTGAAAATAAAATCCAGCGAATATACTTTTTTCCCTATATTTCATATTAAACTCATCAAAAATCAGTGAAAATAAATTCCAAGCAAAACGCCCAAAAAGCCTTTTCAGCGAAAATTAATTCCAGCGAAAATAAAGTATTCCACAGTATGTCAATAACATGCAACACTAAAAATGTTAGTGACATAGTTTACCGGTATTCCATATTAGGGAACATGACACGTGTGCCGATATAACTTTTTAACCTTTTTACCACCAGTCTTTCTCGACCAAATTTGTTGACACTTTTTTTCTTAAATTCTTCACTATTTCTGGAAATGAAACCTAATTTTGGAGCCAATGGACAAAATTTGAGTCAATTTTCAGATTTTACACAAAAAATGTGGCTACAGTTGTCTTGATCGTCTGAAGGAAAGTACAGACTATAAACAGGACTATTTTGTAAATTTGTGATGAAAAGAGGGAACTGGTGGGTGAAAAGGTTAAAGAATAGTAAATGATATTGTATTTGGTGCTAGATGTATGTACACACGTTGTACAATACCAAAATTGAACATTGCATTGCATGTGACAGTGACCAAGAATAACCTTACCAACAAATGAACATTGTGACATATGGGCTTATACACACATACACAATGTACTGTTAAACCATTTATTTTCACTGACATTTAATTTCACTATTTTGATGTTTTGAGCATATTCACTGTGTTTTAATTTCACAGATTTGTCAAAGAAACAATGAGTTTTATTGTTATTGTACATGTTCACATAGATTTAATTTTAGCGAATTTTACTTATCAGCAAAAAGAGCGATATTAACACCCAGTGAATAATTAATTAATTATGGATTTACAGTACATGTACATGTGTATGATTTGATATCACTTTATGTACTAACAACAAATAGTGTCTAAATCTTAAAAATTTTCCTTTTTGGCTAGATCCCAAATAATATTAGTTTAGAATGTAGTGCTACTGTCACTTATCGCCTCATATCAACAAGTATTGTATGGTAATTTTTCTTACATTGGCTGACCCATAAAGCAGCTATAAAGGTCACACATGTTACTACCTACAGGTACTTTCTGGTGCAAAATAAATGAGTACCAGTAGTCCAAAATCAAGGATTAAAAGTCAATTTTTACTATATGGACCGAAAACAAAGGCGATAATTATGTCTCTAATCAGACCCTCCACTGTGGTACAGATAACATTTATGATGTGAGATGTAGAAAACCTGCATAGTGTTACAAGATTGAAAACCCCGCTTTTCCTCTCAATTTGCAACTACGAATGTGAATATAATCGAACATTTCACCTAGATTAGATTCTAATTTTTAGGTTCTCTGTAGTCAGTATCTACTGTCACCTATTCAAAAGTACAATATTTATTGTGGCTAGCTTGAATTGGTAAACTACCGGTATGTTTCGACAGTGAGCCATAAAAAGGGGTAAAATTCTTCTTCAATGCTCAGTTTATCTTTCAAAAATAACTAATTTCTTTATTTAAAAAAAATCATGCTGATTGCACTACAACATCGATAAATCTCTTCCCGCGTTACGTTTGTCATGAAATCGCTGAACTGTCATTAACATATTTAAATGAGCTATCATGATAATTCAAACACGTTGGTATCATCCAGCATTTTGATTGGTTAATTAGCGACTTGACCTCTCAGATCAAAGAACACAGTTTCAGGTCAATTCACGTGTTTACATGTGACCAAATTCATTCGCTTACGATGAAACTACATGTAAGTTGAATTTTACTTGCATTTCATAACAATTCAACAAATATTTTGTTGTACGTTATTAAAATCACTTCTGAATAATGATCAACAATTGCAACACTCTAAAAACAAGTTATTCACTTGTGAATGCAGCATGACCAGCTACCATAAGAAATGCATTTGTGTTTGTTTTTATTTAAATGTTATTTTAGAATATACTTTTCGATACAAACAAAATAAATGCATATTATATTAATAAATAAACCTGTGTATATTTTTGTTATCATGTGAACAGTTTTTGATTGACTGTAATTTTTTCAACATTTCGTGACTTCTATTTCTAACCAAATTAAGACCTTTCACTCTTACCTAATGCCTAAATTAGAGTGATGCCTATTCAAAAAAAATTATACGGTAGCATATGTTCCAAATATATATCAAAGTTATGATTATATATGCATATGTCAAAGATTCCTTGATACCCTAGGTAGACTTGAGTGCAAAGAATAAAAGTAAAAATACCTTGTGAACAAGTCATTTAAAATGACACAGTCCCCGTTAAATTAAGTTCTCTTTGTGCTCGTCATATTAAAGGTGAGGGGGTTGTCGTGAGCGTGTCCTTGAAACTTGAGTTCCAAGTGGCGTATACAACAGATTGTTTATTTACACCAAAACACGTGTTCCGTGTAGTAGTAATATGGCCAAAAATAAAAACAGCCGTTATTCGGCCATCGTTGATCCGATTATGAAACACACTGATATTTATGATGTATGTGCCAAATACGAATGAAAATGGTACATAAATTGTGGAAATATAGTAGTAAAGCCAAAAAGTCAGATGGCTGTCAATGGGCCATCCTTGACCAGATTTTGAAACAAATTGTCATGGATATGCATCCTAACATGTATAAAGTACATGTATGTGCCAAATTTGAATGAAAAATGACAGAGCACGTATAAGATACCACATAAAAAAAACAAAAAAAAAACAAAATGCTTGCCAGTCGACCATCTTTGATCCAATTGCGAAATAAATCGTCATGGACATGTATCCTACCATGTTTAATATATGTACCAAGTTTGAATGAAAACTGATATTTAGCATGTCCAAAATACAACATTTTCAAAAAATAAGATGGCTGCCAGTAGGCCATTTTGAATGGAATCGCTAAACCACTGCATGTGCATATGTCCCACATAAAGTACTAGGCACATGCAAAGAATGAACGGAATCGGTCCAAGGGATTCTGAGATATAACTCCGGACGGACGCAAGGACGCACAGACGGACGGAGACCGAATTATAAGTCCCCGTTTTTGGACTTCGTCCGAACGGGGACTAATAATCTCTCGTGAATCATTGGTATGTCACAATGCTGGTAAATAAACTGCCCTTTGTTATCTGTTTATAAACAGGCTTTCGGTGTTTACTTCTATACTGCCTTAACACATTTTCTATGCAATGACATTTTTAGCATTTTATACTTTGTTTTTCTATTTTGTCCTATTAATTTTTTTTACTCTTACATGTATTTAGTAAGTTTCATTATTTTAGTCTTTTCTTATTTTTCATTTACCACCCTTTGGTGGTTTTGATTGTGTAATAAAGTTATTATTATTATTATTATTATTATTAACATACAGATACCATATCAGCCTGAATTTGAATAACTGCAACTCCATAATTCTGCCCACGGCGCTTTACAAAGGCCTTATGGTATAATATTATAAATATATTATTCACTAGCATTTATTAACTACACTATTTTCAAATTTTTATCATATTGACTGGGTTATTATTTGGGTTACTTTAATTCCCAGTGGAACAATGAGTATATTGTAATTTTACATGTTGAAGTAGATTTAATTTAGCAGATTTCACTTATCAGCGAGAATAGTAAAATGAAATATGTTACTAAGTATCGCATTTAAACCGACACTGTTGTCAGAACTGCATAGGGGCATATAGGGCATGCTCACACAATGAATGTTTACATATTGACGGCAGCCAGTTTTTAGAGAATTGCTAAAAGCTATTTATATAAATTCAATCTGTCGAAATTACACTTGTCATATTTGGTTTGGTTTTTTGTAACAATAAAGTACTGCCCCAGCTGTGATCAAGGTTTATATTTCGAACTGCGTATAGCATGTAATGCACATGATGACGATGATCATAATCATCATCCAGAAATTGAAAATAGAATCATAGAATAAGTGCACAAGCACAGCTCAAACGACACACAAAATACACCGGCTGATTTGCATCAATATTTCTACAAATGTGTGTTTTTGTAGCTATTTCATAAGATCAATGGCCATCACTACTATATCATCCTATTTGCATATCCTTATCAATATAATTGGAACTGAAAAAAAGCTGTGTCTATTACATGTATCCAGATATGTTACAGATGTCTGTATGAGTCTGATACATCAATACAATGGTTCCTTACCGGCTACACAGTGCATGTATATAGGTTTCGGAGCTGCAATATGTACACAAGTACGGTGGCCGAATGTCTCTCGAATCCGGCCAACCGAATCAGTTGCAAATGGTCGAGACACGCCCACTCAGTCAGACATCGGGCTTGGGAATGCCATGTGGCAACACATGGGACGAAATGCCTACCTGTCTGCGTGCGATTGTTAACGTATTCAACATAATAACAAAACAGAAGACACTGATTCGCTGCCGATAATCGGTGGTTGCGCACTGATTATCAGCCAAAAATGTAGTTTCTGAAGTCTGGTTCCACTTCCGGTTGTTGTGTACGTTGTGAAAGCAGAAGCTGTACACAAGCCAGACTAGCCAAAGCCGTTGAAATTCAATAACAATGCACACATGTACAAATCGACTACATTAGAAACCCGGCTTTTTTGTAATATTTACCTGGAAAAATATTGTCAGGAATTTCCGATGAATTCAGGCGTTCAAAAATAAGCCTCAATGCGGCAAAGCACTGCGCTGATATCGAAATAATGTCATTAATCCCTGCGTGAAACACTAACTTAAGACACACGAACTGTCGACTTCAGAAAATATATTTCACGTTATTCGCCATTTATAATTCACCCTAAACTAAAAGCCCGGATGTAACATACTACGCATGATCGCAACCTTCGCACAACCATTGAAATAGTGGGAAATTGCTGCATGTTTCTGTTCGGAAAACTTTGAATAACGCAGTCCTTCCACCAATTGCCCGGTGCGACCAATTTGTCAGAAATACGGAATTTAAACATGCAATCATTTATGCAATATGAAAGATAACGACTCTCTCGCGACACAAAAGTAATGACATGATGAGGTATCCTCGTCCAAATGCAGTCATTATTATTATAAATCTGCCTGCTATAATAAAGTGATATCCCATTTTAATTTATTGAAAT